TCTATTCATATCCCTAGGCTCACTGAGACAAGCATTTCTGAGCACAGTATAACAGACCTGATTAAAACTAAAATCAAGGATTTACAGGGCACAGCAGACAGGCCAAATGAACTGTAGTCCAAGATTTCCCAGGCCAGAGCCCTCCCAGGGTTCTGCCCCAGTTTTGGCTTCATTCTACTTTTCTGAAGCTAACAGAAAGAATCATTCAAGAGCTCAAGAGAACTCAGAGCTGGTGAATACAACCCCAAAGGAAGGGCATATATCCTCAGAGTGGTTTTTTAAAAATCAGTACTTTAGAACTAGGAGTACACTCCACTCAAAGACAAAAACTGTGAACTGTGTGGTCTACAAGTGCCTTAAAAGCAGGACTTTGATGTCTGGATGACTACTATGGTGTCACTTTGTTTTTAAAATGCTCTAATGATAGCCAGTCAAAGCATCAGCAGGCCTGTAGGCTGTGAACTTGTGTTGCCCGCAGGATGGCACAATACCCTGCAAACCAACTTACCGGAGATATCAGGAGTGGCCTGTAGGTTTTACAGCTCCTAAACTGTGTGCCTCCCAAAAAGAACCAGAGGAAGGCTGGGGTTGTGTTTTAGCAGTAGGGAGCTTACCTCGCACATGTGAGACACTGGGTTTTATCCTCAGCACCACATACAAATAAACAAACAAAATAAAGATATTGTGTCCATCTACAACTAAAAAAATTAAAAAATAAAAATAAAAAAGAACCAGAGGAAGGATCTGATCTTGAAGAACTCAGCCATCACCCCAAGAGCCAGGAAGACAATGAGCTTACCTGCCTGCCTGTCTGCCTTCTCTTCCTTTCTCCCTTCCCCTACCCTTTCTCCCTCTCCTCCCCTCTCTTCCTTTTCTCCACTTTCCTGTCCTCTGCCCCTCGCTCCCCAATAAAAGATTCCAGTTGATGGAAAGCAGAAAGAACAATACTACTATGATAAGAATGATAATGAAAAAGGTTTCTACAAACAAAGGCAGACCAAGGAGCACATCCTATACAAATTCATTTATGGAAAGATCAAAATCATCTGAAAGATCAGAGTCATATGAGAGTCAAGATGTCCATCTCTGTTGGAAGTAGTGACGATAACCAAGAGAAGCAGGAGGAGAGCTGTGAGCATGCTTGATAATATTTGCTTTCAATCTGTATGTTGGGCACAGGAGTGGGTTTACTTTGTGATAATTTATCAAGCAGTACACATAGTCATTTGTGATTATCTATATACAGTCACATATCAATAAAATGATTTTTTTTAAATCACTCTCTTTAAAGATAGAAAGTAGTTTATACTTTTTGCTTTCTGCTTATACAGTGGGACAGAGCCTTGAAAAACAAAACACACTAAAACCCAAAAAACCAAGAGACCCATAAGCCTATTTTTTCACCTTAAATGGTTTTCACGGTTTTCTAATTCAATAAGAGGTTTCTTCAGGCAGAATTTCATTGAATTTCAGGACCTAATCAAGCCTTTTCTGTACTTGGCCAATCTCTGGATGTGCCAAATTCTGCCTGTGGCTCTACAGAGGGAACACTGAGTAATCTTCAGGCCTCCGAGGTCCGACACAGAGAGCAGAGACCAGGGGAACACAGGAAAAGTTATGGAACTTTCTCCAAGTTACACAATGAGTTGCTGGTGGAGGGCCTTATGATTCTCAGTCCAACAACTCTGGCTTTTCTACTACATCTCATTCTGCAGGGGCCAATTAATAAATATTCTCCTTTGGGGCACTGAGAAAAATGAGCCCTGAGAATCTCACTGGCCATTCTTTACATGCAAAGTACACAAAGGAGTTTACCCAATTCCCCTCCAACAGGAAATCATTTGTCTGGAAGAGTAAGGAAGAGGAGGAGGAGGAGGAGG